ATATTCTGACTCCAGGTCAAGTTCCCAGTCTTTTCTCTTTCTACTCTTATCTTCACATACTCCTGCATGAACTTTACACCCCGCCTGCTGACTCATTTCTTAGACATTTGCCTGCTCCTTTCTTCATTTCAAGACCTTTTTGGAATGTCCTCCCCAGTTCACACTCTTTCTTTGACATTGCTGTTCATGATGCTTTCTGTTTCTCACTTCACTGGGCGTGATTCTCTCTGAGGTGCATCTGATTAGCTTCGGCAGTCAGCATTCTTTTGCCTTTATCGCCTGTATCATATATTCTGTGAAGTTTGAAAAACTTTGTTCCAGGAAAGACTTTCATTAACTGTTCACTTTCTTCCCTCCTGTTTCCAGAGAAAACATTTTTGTAAGAACAGTGAGGCATTCTGCACATTGTTGGACATTAACTCACAGTTGGGACCATAGGAGTGAGTTTTCCATCCAGAATACCAGTTAATACCTAAGAAGAAAATATTTGGCTGCATTTGGGAACTTGGTGCTTTAGGTCTCTGAGCACCCACAGCAAGCACACAGACCAGCCTTGTGATTGTGGCTGTGGGATGACTTACCTCCTGGCTATTGCAGAAGGAATTTTGAAATTACAGCATGTGAGAACAAGGACTTTTCCTAACTACTGCAGGATAGGACTCTCCTATGCACAGGCTACAGACATTAGACAATATTGCCACTGATAGTTACAGTGCCACTTGCTGTTTTTGCCTTGCAAACACAGGACTATAATAAAAGCAAAATTAAAAAAAAATTTTTTTGAGACAAGGTTTTTCTATTTCCTGGGCAAGGCTGCCCAGGAATAGCCTCCTGAGTTCTGGGATTATAGGAATGTGCCACCATACTCAGCTCATTTTGTAATCTTGTAATGCATGATGCTAGCACTCGTGGTCATTGGTCTTTGAAAACCAGTGGCAACTTTAGGTTTGTTCTTCTCAAGTTCAAGCTTAATTAATTCAACTGAACTTGAGAAGTTAGATGGGTTAAGAGTATAAAATGGAAGTTTTCAAAGCTTTTTCTTTTCTGACTACATTCCCTGTGAACACAATGAATATCCTGGGGAGACATTATCTTGGCAAGGAAACCAATGGAAAAAGATACTGCTTTATTTCCCAAACCCAAACACATCTTTGCTGGGCAGCGTAGGTGGGGTGTGGATCAGGGAGGCAGATGAATGTTGTAGAATGCTGTCTTTGTTTGTAGAGGAGGGCCTTTAGGAGTCTGAGAACTAACACGTTGGTGTCACCCTTCTTCATGAAGGTGGAATATTTTTAACATGGTAGCGTTTTGCCAGAGTCTTGCAGGACTTGTTAGATAGTGTTTGTGGGAATGAGATGGAAAAACCACCTGTTGTAACTGAGTAAGACATAGGTAATATGTCACTCTGAGAAAGTGTTCCTCAAAAACTGTCCCAAGCTGGGCATGGTGGTACACAGCTGTATTCCCAGCTCCAGGAGTTGGAGGCAGGAGATTGAGAGTTTCAGGCCAGTCTGGGATACAAAGTGAGACCTTGTCTCAAAGCACAAACAAACAAATGCTGTTCCAAGACTTTGCAAGTCATCTGTCATTGTGGTTTTGCCTAAAGATTTTCTAGAAATTCTTAGATTCAAAGGTATCAAGGAGAAGGACACAACTTTGACATTTAGGACGTATCATTCTTATACTGGGTCAAAACAGTGTTCTTATTTGTAGTTATTGAGGAATGCATAACTTTTAAAAATACACATAGTATAAAATTGACTATCTTAACTATACTAAAGTGTAGATTCAGGGCCAGGTGTGCTGGTGCGTACCTATGATCTTGAGAGGCAGAGGTAGGAGGATCCTAATCTATGGCCAGCTCCAGCAAAAACATGAGGCCTTATCTGAAGAACAAATTAAAAGCAAAAGAACTGGAAGTGGTACTCAAGTGGTGCATGAGACCTTGGGTTCAACCCAGTACTGCCAAAAGCCAAAAAAAGTGTAGGTTCCATGGCATTAAATACATTCACATTTTTGTATAACCATCATCACTGTCCATTTTCAGAACTTTCCATCCTCTCAAACTGAAATTCTGTCTCCATTAAAACCAACTCCCCATTCCTCCTCTTCCTGCTCCTAGAAACTACCATTTTACTTTCTCTCTCTGTGATTTTGACCACTCTAGGTAGCTCCCACAAATGGTGTTATATGGTCCTTTTGTGTCTGGCTTATTTCACTTACCATGATGTTAAAGTTCATCCATGTTGTTGCATGTAACAGAATATCCTTTTTTTCTTTCTTTTTTATGCTGAGAATTGAACTCAGGGCCTCACACATACTAGGCAGGCAGTCTACCACTGACCTACAGCCCCAGCTCTACTTCTTTTTTTCTTGTTGGTTTTGGTGCTACTGGGGTTTAAACTCAGGGCCTCATGTTTGCTAGACACTCTACCACTTGAGCCATTCCACCAGCCCTCTCTACTTCTTTTTAAAGGCAGAATAATATTCCATTGTATACGTGTGTGTGTGTGTGTGTGTGTGTGTGTGTGTGTGTGTGTGTGTGTGTGTGTGTGTGTGTGTGTCCCACCATGATCCTGAACCTTTACCAGGTAGGTTGGCCTGGTATCAAGATGCCACTGGCTGACTTTAGTGAGTGACCCCAGCTAGGACGTTGGGGGGCCTTCCTTTTATCTACTCTGTTTGCTTTGGGTTGTGTTAAGCTTCTGTTATTCTCACTTATATCTCCTGGCTTTCCGGTAGCCCCTTTTCTACCAGTATCAGGAGTCTGTTCTTGGTGCTCGTCTATCCTCTATGATTTGTGTTCTATCTAGGCAGCCTTTCTCAGTGCCCCAACCCCACTTCTAGGCTTTAAGTACTTTGTGTTGGTCACCTGATATATAGCTCACCTTTGACTGGACCCCATCCTTGGACAGTCAGTTACCCACTGGCTCTTCCCTCTGGATAGTCCCTGGGGCTCCCACATAAGACATGTCAAAACCTATTCTCTACCAGGTGTCACCTACATTTTGGCTGTATGTGGTTGAGTGTGCAGTCTTGAGCGGGTAGAAATTACAATCTGGCCAGGTGTGCATGCTGGAGGTAGAGGTAGGAGGATGAAGTCTGTGGCTGCCCTGGATGAAAGTGCTAGACCTTGTCTAAAAAGCAAAAGGACTGGGGGTGTGGCTCAAGTGATAGAGCAGCAGGAAGCCCTGAGTTCAACCCCCAGTACCGCCAAAAGAAAAATCACTGTCTGTTATGACATTGGGATAAAATTGACTTTGAAGCCAGTCCTAGAAATGGATTGCTTCCTATATTTGCCAGGAGTGGTCTTTTAACTTTTGTGTATGGTATTATCTTGCAGCAAATAACTGCCTTTTTTGTTTACTTTTGCTGTTCTGGGGATTGAACCTAAAGCCTTGTGCTTGCTAGGTAAGTGCTCTACTACTTGACCCGAGCTCCAGTTCTTTTGTTTGTATTTTGTTTTTGAGATAGGGTCTTGCTAGCTTTGCCTGGGCTGGCCTCAATTTCCAGATCCTCCTGCCTCTGCCTCTGAAGTAGCTGGGATTACAGATATGCACCACCAAACCTAGTTAATAATTGCCTTTTAAACTAATCTTAAGAGTTCAGTTGTCCTGGGATCTAGGTGGAAAGTTTAGGAAAATATGCAGCTTCAGAACCCAGGAGTCATCATAAGTTGCTTTGTGAGCACTTTGTGCCAACTTTTGAAGTTATCCACAAATTAGCTGTGGAGTACAGTGCATAAGCAGTGGACTTTCAGACTGTACTCTGAGGGCTTGGAACTAGTCATTTGTTTTCCACTGGGTTCCTTTGCCATTTGTAAAGCTTTTGGAGTAAATAAAACAGGAGTTGGCATTCTTTTTTTTGAAAAAAGCCATGTAGTAAATATTTTTGGTTTTTGCCATGTTTTTTTTGGGCATTGGTTAGTTTGCCAATCATTTGTGCAGAAAATAGGTATATCAACTGGAGTTAATTGTGTGTGGATCCCCACTATTCTGGTTAGTTGCTACTGAGTGATATTATGGCTGTATAGGAAAAAGTGGTTAAGGATTAAAAGATCAGAGTTAAACTTACAAAATGGATGACATTCAAGATTTTTTCTTTCTTTCTTTGCTATTATTATTATTATTTTGGTGCAAGTCCGGGGCCTTGAACATGGTAGGGAAGCCCTCTACCTCTAAGTGATAGCCTGAGCCCAAGATTTAAGCTTTTCAGGAATGTTTTAAGACATTTAGAGCGGACTACATTTAATGGTGAGTAGTAAATATCTTAATATACACAGCATGGTATAATAATCTAACTAGTGCAATAATAAAAGTAATATAAGAGCCAGATGTGGTGGCTCATATCTGTAATCTAGCACTTGGGAGGCTGAGGCAGGAGGATCAAGAGTTTGAGGTCAGCCTCGACTTCATAGTAAGACCCTGTCTTAAAAAAAAGAAGAGAAAGTTGTTAGAGGTTGCCAGGGGCTGGGAGGATTGCAAAGTGACTGCTAATGAGCATAAGTGTTCTGCAGTTGATGGTAGTGATGGTCCTACAACTCTGTGAATATACTAGAAGCTACACAATTGTATGCTTCATATGAGTAACTGTATGGTGCTTGAATTGTAGCTCAATGAAATTGTTGCAGAAACTAACAAGTGCAGGATGGATGTATGAGAAATAATTAGTAAATAATAAAAATGGTCCAAGTTATCGTTTGGATAAAAGAAAGCCAGAAGATGAGCAGTATTTGTGGATTCCATATTTTCAGTTGTGTGTTTTTGAGCCTTCCCATTTCCACCTTGGTGAACAGCAGCTCTTGTCCTTATGGCAAAAGAAGCCATGCATTATTGGGTCCCTGGACCCTTCAACTTTCCTGGGTCCTTTCACTTCTGGGTAATCCTAAAGTCAGCCCTAAGGACCCAAAAACTGCTTCCAGTTGCCTTCTGGGGACTTGCTTTGACTCAAGGGTTACTTGCTCACTTAGGAGGCTCATGGAACCCACTTCTCTGTTACAGATCGAAGAAGGAAGTAAAGCCGCAGCTGTCCACAAGTTACTGGCTGGAGATGAGATCGTGGGCATCAATGACGTTGGTCTCTCGGGTTTTAGACAGGAAGCAATTTGTCTGGTGAAAGGGTCCCATAAGACCCTCAAGCTGGTGGTCAAAAGGTAAGATGTGAGTCTCTTTCATGTTCACCAACACAAACAGAAGTAAAGAGAACATCAAACTGTGAGTCCTGGCTGGTTTGCTTGGATCACTGCAGAGGTCTCTATTTGGACCAGGTCCTGTGTGTGTGTGGCACTGAGAAATACCAGTCATTCCTTGATAACCTCCAGGGATTGGTTCTAGGATCCTCTTCGAATACCAAAATATCTGTACAGTTGAGTCCCTTCTATAAAATGGTGTCATATTTGCATATAACCTGGGCACATTCTCTTGTATGCTTTAAATCTTGTCTGCATTTATAATACCTAGCACAATGTGAATGCTCTGTCAATAGCTATTATACTGAATTGTTTAGGGAAGGATGCCAAGAAAAAGTTGAAACATGCTCAGCACAGATGCAATTTATTTTTCCAAATATTTTCAGTCAGGTTGTTTCTGGATGCAGAACCCGTGGACATGGGTGAACCCAATATCATACAATTAAAGAGTTCGTTATTTTATTTCTACTGATTTTAAAGTTTTTCATTTATTAAGTGAATTTGAATACTTTCATCATTTCTTTGACAGTATATAGAGTTTCCTCTTTATGGAGAGAAAAACTGATGTACTCTTACTTAGGAGATACATTGTTCATTACAAGGTGGCAAGCTGCTGTGTTTCTGGGGTTTAGGCTGGAAAGAGGGCAACTGCCTCATAGATGGAAACATCACCTACCAGTTGTTCATAATACTATGTTGAGATGTGAGGGGAACATGCTACCAATTCCTATAAATTAGATTGTTGGGGTGTTGATGGGGTTTTGATGGTCTAAGAAAATGAAATTGGGGACATGTGGCTTTTATGTGTAGGAATGAAAACAATACTCCTGAGTACTCAGAGTATTTGTGGTTTGTTTTTAGATAGAAATAATTTTTTTGTATTTGGCTAATTAAAATAAAGTGTCTGTATGTTCTTTGTGACAGAATTAATGAATTCTTTCAAAGGTTGGACCCCATGTAAAAACAAACTAAAACAAAAAGGGCTGGGGGCATGACTCATGTGGTAGAGCACCTGCCTAGCAAGCCTGAGGCCCCAAGTTCAAGCCACAGTACTGACAAAAAAATTCTTATAGTCAAAACATGTATTTTTCTCTTTTTGCTTCCATCCCCAAGGAACCATTTAATGTGCCTTCTGTCCCTATGGATTACTTAGCATTTAGTAGCATTTTATGTAGAGCTTCATGCAATGGAGTGGGCCTTCTTACAAAGTGCACCTAGGCTGGGGGTGTTGCTCAGTGGTAGAATGTGTGGTTAGCATCCTTTAGGCCCTGGGTTCCATTCCCCAGCAACAAGGTTGGGGTGTGGTGGGGAGGTGGTGAGCATTTAGTTTATAAACAAAAAAGCCTGAGCTACAAGCACATAAATATCATATACTGCCCTACTTAAAAGCATGACCAAATGATATACTAGATTGTTCCAACCCTTGACTTGTTGTAGGTGCCCACCTCATGTGCCTTAGAAGTAGTGGGGAGGGGTGAAGAGGAAGGGCTACACATCCCTGTAAAGCACATGAACTCCCTCCCTCAGGTACAAACTCCCTGCCCTGGATGACAGCTGCTCCATGTCCTTTGTTTCTCATGTTCCTTTTATCTTAGTATGTGTAGTGACCAGGGGACCAAGCTGCCGGGATAGGATTGCTGTGGGCCAGTTTCACAAAGTGGTAGAATCTTGTTTCATGGGGCACAGGCAATGCTATCTTATTGTCATTGAGAAGCTGGTACTAGGATCACAATGCCCCTGGAGACATGGCATCTCTCTCTCCAGTGAAGATTCTTTCCCAGACAAATGAGAGCAAGCGCTTCCTGTCTCCCAGACAGGAGTGGCTAGAAACAATGAACTTGTAGCAATCATCCCCTGTAAGAGCACATATGTTCTCCTTCACGATGCCCAGATGGCATCCAGGGCCCACAAGACTTAGGACAGGGTCTGGTGGGAGACTGTAGGAACCAAATCAACTGTGGGGGTAGGAGGACAGGCTGAGAAGCCAGAATTTTTCTTTGCTCTTTGTTTCCTCAGTGGTTTGCTGTCTCATCTTTGCTTAGCCAAGGAGGTAACCCTTTGCAGGAAGTTCCAGGTAGATGTGCAACCTATGACTATGTATGCACTTTTCTGTCTGAGCAGTTGTCATCTACTGTTTCCCTAGGTGTCCAGTTCTGCCCCGAAGATCCTGATAGATAGGGCTGGAATGGATCCAGGGTCTGCGGCTTTCATACAGGGCCACAGGCTATTTTGTTTGATGGCTACATTGGTTTTTCTACTCATTGGCCTAAGCAGATGTGCTTGGAGAAAAGGCTGAGGTCACAAACAGGGTGGCACCTTGGCATTTTCTTAACTAATTTAGCTTAGTAGATAAACCCCTTACACTTGGAAGAACCCAGAAGGGATCACAGCAACTAGCTGGGCTGGGCTTGTCCTACTCCCTCAATACCTAGAGTCATGGCTGTCCCTGTCTGATGCCCTAACATATGCATTAACTACTCTGAGGAGACAATCACCTGTTTTCTCAATTCAGAGGTAAATTGCTGCAGGTTCAGCTTTTAAAAAGTACTTGTGATTTTTAAATGCCCTAGGGAAAGTTTCTTTTCGATATCACACCATAAATTATTGTCTAAAGCTTGTAATTACCCTTTCGATTTTTATTTCAAAATTTTATTATTTTAGTTTTCTTTACAACAAACTACACCTGCCACCTCAATCTTAATCCACCCTGTAGTTCCTTGTGATCCTATCCTGAATTGTTTAGGGAAGTTTGGTTAGGGATAAATCATGGTTATAGTTGATTTTATGTTACTTCCTATTTGCTGGCGACCTTAAACCCTTTTGTAAATCTAATTACATCCACTAAGCCTGCATTCAGCAGCAGATTAGCACCACAAGGTAGGGTTTTTTTTTCCCAGGAGGCTGCATGTGTTCTGTGGACACACTTTTGAAGAAAAGAGGCTTTCATGAAGTGACAGCAGTCTTGCTTGTTAAGAGCAAGTTGCTTGCAACATGTATACCTTCTCAGGTGTTACAGAGTTGCATTGACTCCAGCTGCAGATGGGCCTGTGTAGTGCTCCATGGAGCTGGCCTTTAGCAGGTGGCCCTTCAGCCCCAACACTGATTAGCACAGATGTTCCCAAGAGCCACTGCATTCCGTGGTATGCAGGAGTAAGGGGCTGGCCAAGACAACAGCAGGTCTGTCCATCCCAGGAGCTCTTTGAGGGGCAGTAACTGCGCATGGCCATGCGTGTTCACACTGGACATTCACTTGGAGCACCGGTGTGCTTCTTGGAGAGATGCTGGAGGTGTCAGGTGAAACCTGGGCCATGGACAGTTGCTGGTATTGTTTGTTCTTGGTTGAAGGCAGTATTTCTACTCTGAGCATTTGGAGGCTTATGGCTATTTGCTACTGTGTTTATTTTCCTGTTAAAACAGAGAAAACACTGAGGCTTACACCCTCACTTACTTGGGCTGCTTTCCAATATTGTTCTTATTCAGTAAACTTGGGAAGAAAGAAATTTACATAGATCAGAATTGGTTTGTTTTGGGAAAAGTTACTTTCTTTCAGGTATGGACTTAGTGTATAGCTTAAGAAATTTAATCAGATGAATGTGTAATTGCATGAGATGTTTCATATTCTAGGTCAAGTAAAGAATGGAAAGAGTTGCGATTTTGTTTTTCAGTTCTTTTATTATAATAAAGGAATGAGACCTTTTGAAACATATGAATACTGATAACAGACATGCAAATGATGTATGTAAAATTTAGTTTGAAAACATCATGGCTTCTAATACATTAGGACACACAGAGAATGTGTCGCTTATTTTTGTGTTTAGTTGAGGTTTCCAGAGCAACTGTGGATATGTTTGTTTTTTTGAGTCTCACTTTCTAGCACACAGCCTGGCCTAGAACTTGTGATCCTCCTTCTTCAGTCTCTCAAGTGCTGAGATTGTAGGCATGTACCACCATGCCTGACTCAATGTGTGTGGTGAATTCCTGCATAATTATGCTCACACTGTACAGATCATGTTCATTTTGAGGTTTGAGGAATTGAGAAATGAGTCATAGCACTCACGATGAAGTTATATTATTTTTGTGGAGCTGCGGATGAACCCATGGCCTCATACATGCTAGTCAAGCATTCTACCATTGATCTACAACCCCAGCTTAATCTTCCTTCCTTCCTTCTTTGCCTCCCTCCCTCCCTTACTCCTTCCTTCCTTCCTTCTTTGCCTCCCTCCCTCACTCCTTTCTTCCTTCCTTCCTTCTTTCTTTCCTTCCTCCCTCCCTCCCTCCTTTCCTCCCTCCTTCCCTTACATTTCCATTTCATTTATGCAAAGAAAGCGTTCTGTACAGAACAGCTTTGTCCTAGGCCTCCCTCCTGCCCAGACACTCCTTCCCCTCAAGTTCAGGACTTTTCCCATGTCTCTGCCAGCAAGGGTACTTTTAGAACCAAACCCTCTTAAGAACAATTTAGAATAGGTGCCTGCTAACTCCTGTTAGTGGCTATGAGAGTCTAAAGACTCTTTAATTGAATGGCATGGTATTATTAAGAAAGTGCTTAGGAGATTTGCTGAAGGATAAAAACAACAGCATTGCTGTGGTAGTGAAATGAGCTTATTAAACAACTCAGGTCATTCCAGTATGCCTGCTTGTGTTCAGGTGGGGCAGCTGGTGTTACTGATGGGATGGGGGATGGCAGATGGCGTCCACCGTGGAGGCTGGCTCTGCTGCTTTTAGTCTCTTGGAGTGGGTGTTTTCTTGCATTTCATAATAAGTGAAGTAGGCTGTGGCAAGATGGCTCATGCCTGTAATTTCAGTCCCAGCTACCTGAGATTGGAAGGATTATTGTTCTAGGCCAGTCCCAACAAAAAGTCAGACCCCTTCTCAACCAATAAGTTGGGTGTTGTGGCCCCAGCTACTGGGAGGCCTTAGGTAGGAGGATCATGATCCAGGCAGATCCAGGCAAAACCATGGGACCA